TAAAATCCTTAACGAAGGTGCCACCTTCAACCTCCACAATGTTGCCTTAACACTACATCATTGGCTCTACCTTCAACCTCCAAAGTGTCATCTTCAATTTCCACACCACGACCTCTTTCTAAATCTCAATTTCCACTACCGATCTCCTCACTCTTCATCTTCTCTGTCACCCAAATTTCTACCTTTGCCACCTACGCCTACTTCACCTCGCCTTTCTCTTTACAGAAACATCGAATCATAAACAAAATCGATGAAGTGTTTAGGGTTTCGAAGGGTTTGATGATTTTCATAAACAAAATCGAGATCTACTTTTCTCTTTATCACCTTTAATTCATGTCTAGCCAAAGGTGTTGCAAGAAAGGTGGCAATTTGTCTACATCTTCAAGAATCGATGGAGACTTAGAGAAAACTTGCAACTGATGGTGTTAAACCTCACTGGAAAGGGGGTCATCAGAGATAGTGTCCCTAATCCTTTCCGTTACTTCCTCTCTTTTGTCAGTAATACCCTTTATCACTCCTTCCTCTATCCCCATATCTTTCTATTATAAGACTAACACCACCACCAATTTCAGTTCCCCTTTGGCTCCACTCTCTTCTTGAGTTTTTTTAACACAACCTCCAAATTCTTCATCTCCTTATAGTTCACCCTCCATCTTCACACCTTCATCTCTGGTTCCTTACATCTCCATCTCTACCACATATTGACTCTCTCGTCTCTATCTTTATATTACGATGAACCCACACACCATGGTCTATCCTACTCCCCATCTCTTCCCTCTATACCCGTCATGTAAAGGGTTGGTGAAAGAGTTTGTATACGGTGATTGATTCCAAGCACTTGAAATTTGATACCTTCCAAACTTTAACTGTCGTATTCCATGAACCTGAATAAAGAAGCAGTTGATCTTCGTTAAAGCTGAGACTAGAAATCGCAACGAAATATTTGATCCAAATTCTTTGAGGTTTTCCCACTTCGGTGTAATTCTTTAGTTTCTTTGATTTTTTTCACTGCGGATTTGAAAGTAGGCAAAATTCCAATCCTCTAATGGGCACTAGGGTTCTTAGGTGAAACCTTCCAAAAACCAATTTTTTTGTCCTCGTGGTCGGTGAAGATTTTCGCATTAGCGATTACAACTGCATATAATGAATATATTTTTCCTTCTTCATCAATAATGTAAGCCAATAAACAACTATAATTGGAGTGAGAATCCGAGCAAGCCGAAAAAAGTCTCTCGATGTAAAATAGCCACGACGACCTTGTCAATTGAAATTGAGATAGCTGGTGTGATGTCGAAAGACCAAAGAACAGGCGTGATGTATATGAATTTTGTAGAGGTGTCATTGTACACCACTGTCATTAACTCTACAGACAACGGATTATGTGAAGACGCTCTAGTTCGATTTCCTATCATCATCAATGAACACGAAGGGCGAATGGGTGTGCCAATGACGAGATAGATACGTTAAGAAAGAAATTGGAGGGGTAGGTTTATGTATTTCTTTTATTATTATTATTATTATTATTATTATTATTATTATTATTAATTTAGTTATTAAAAAATAAAATAAAATAGAAAGTGTATTCTAGTTGATTCATGTGGCTTTGGGACTATCCATGAAACAAAATAAACCACGAACCCTTATGTAGTTTTCTAATAATAGTAAATTATTGAAATCGTCCCTATGGTTTAGTCAAAATTGCACGTTTGGTGCTTAACTTTTCTTTTGCACTCGGATCGTTCCTATGGTTTGATTTTGTTGCGTTTTCGTCCCTTACATACATAAAGTTAGGGACCAAACGTGCAATTTTGACCAAACCACATGGACGAAAAACGCAACAAAATCAAACCATATGGACGATCCGAGTGCAAAAAAAAAAATTAGGGACCAAACGTGCAATTTTCACCAAACCATAGGAACGATTTCAGTAATTTACTCTTCTAATAATTATACTCAATGTTATACCATTTGCAAACAACAATCACTATTTATAAAATTTTGTCATTTTTCTGAAGTATGATGTCTTTTCGAAAGAGAACTACAAAGAAAAGGTTTACTTTTCTTAATGCGTAACTTTCTTTTATTTAAAAATCAGTTCACTTTTAGTTTCTTATCTTTTCAGTTTGTGGCATCATTAGTTCATTACCTTGCACTTTCACTCCATTTGTTTAGTTCGGAAAATAAATCACACAACACATATAACCGTAAAGAAGAACCACAATAAATTTTTTTAAAAAATATTAGGTTGTAGACTTCAAAAACACTTTTTTTTTAACATTTTAGTAACAACAAATATATTACTATCATTACAAAAACTAAAATATTGATTTTAAGATTTTATAATTTTAAGATCCTACAAACCAAAAACGATCATATGATCTCATTAGGATTTATATTAAGCAATAACTATAGTGGGATCTTAGGATCCCCATTGGGATCTTAAGATCTTAACACAATTTAATCTCATCTCTTTAGTTTTATTATATAGTTGAAAATGAAAATTTTGTGTATTGAACTTCAAATCGAGCATTACAAGTTGCAAAAAGTCTCAAAAAAAATCATCATTTCGTGAATTTATCACGAATTAAACAAGTTACATTTATAATATTCTATTTGTGATCTTAAGACTTTAGTTATAGATCACAATGATCTTGTTTCTTTTTGTAATTGAGATGTTTTTTTCCTAACTTTTATGCTTTACATCAACAAAAATTATGGTTCATGTTTAAAAATTTAAAGTTGAATCCATATCGACATCGTAATCGACATTAAGTAATAATGTATAGTGCACACCCAAAACCTTACCTTACAAACAAATTTAAATATGAGTTCAGTTTGATAGTACCTTCTTATCGCTCACAAGCTCACAACACGATCTTGCAACACACAATATGATTTTAAGGGGGTGTTTGGATAGGGAAAAAATAGGTTGTTTATTGCTTATTGCTTAATCTCACCGCAATAAGCAAATTTAAGTGTTTGGATACGAGTCTTTAAAAATCAGCTTATTGTGGTAGGAATAAGCAAAATAAGTTGATTTTAATAAGCAATGGGGGAATGTTTATTGCTTATTGCTTATTGCTTATTGATCATTTTACTCATATAAGCTGTTTTATTTTGCCAAAAACCCTAGGATCACAATCTTGAGAGCCTACTATAACCCGTTAATAAGTTAAAAATTATTTATCCAAACACCTAGGATCAAAATCTTGAGAGCCTACTATAACCCATTAAAATACTCCAAATACATTTTTGATAAAGAGAATAAAAAAATAATAAATAACCATAAAAAATTTTAACGTATTTTCTTTATAACAAACTTTTAATGAATTAAAAAAAATGATCGTCTCTAAATATTATTAAAAGAGAAACCTTATGACATCATCTAAAACAATCTGGATCGTTGATTGTGTTTTTTTATAGGGAGAATTTCATATATGCCCCTCTTAAACTTCAAAATATCATATTTGCCCAACTTAATTTCTCAATATCATATTTACCCTTCATAAACCTTCAAAATATCATATTTGCCCAAATCCTTTTTTATAATGTTTTTAATATTTTATAATAATTCTTTATACCTTAGAATTATTATAATAATTAAAAACATTAACCATATTATCCTTACGTGTATGATAATGGAATGTGAACTTCTAAATTGTTGGAATGTCGCCCTCTTGACAAACAAAAAAAATTCATCTTCAACCCTCTATATAGAATATATATTTTGATTGTCTAGTTTTTGTTGTTGTTGATTATTATTATGTTGTAGATAGAGGTTATTTTAGATATTACCATTGATATTTTGATGTTTAAAATGTACATATACGATATTTTGATATTTAAGAAGGGTATATATGATATTTTGATGTTTAAAAAGGAGATATATGATATTTTGAAATTTTATGAAGGGTAAATATGATATTTAGAAATTTCATAAAGGGTAAACATGATATTTAGAAATTAAGTTGGATAAATATGATATTTTGATGTTTAGGAAGGGCATATATGAAATTCTCCATTTTTTATAAGTTTTACACCCTTAGATCAATTTGGTTACGTCACCTTGATCAAACAAAAAGTCAATCCGTTATATTAGGAAATTAAATGTAGGAATTGAATGAAAATGATACTTGAATTCTTTCCAAACTTACAACTACAAAATTGGTTCCTTATTAATGTAAACCTTAAATTTAAGTTTTATTTCCATTCAAAATTACTTTCCAAATCTCCCTATTCTAATGAAAGAATAGATTTTAATCTTCTTTTGACATGTATCACTATATTAAGTCTCATAATTAATGCAAATTTTATTTTTCTTTTGTCATATTTCACCTTATTATGTCATATAATAAATGCATATCATTTGTCAACATATTGATTCTCAATTTCAAATTTCAAATTTTAAATTTCTCATTCTAATTACATTAAATTAACAACATTAAAATTAAAATTAAAATAAAATTAATACAAATTATAAAGTGATAGAATTTTACATATTTATTTAAATCAATGATTATAATTTTATAAAACTAAAAAAACCGTTCAATTATTAATTTGTTTATAATAAGTTATTAATAATTTTAAATTTTAACTATTAAAATTTAATTAGTTTTATAAGTTTTCTCTAAACGAGACATTTTGGACTTTATAAATTTTGTTTCCGACTAACTTTCTCACATCAAAAGTACATTTCGTGGCAATAAAGTATATTCGAAATTTGGATTTTGGATATCGACTAAGAACAAAAAAAAATCCAAAATTCTTAGAAAATGTTTGAAACCGATGACAGCTCTGAAATTTTAAAAAAATAATTCTTTTTTTTTTTAATAAAATCTAACAAACCCTTTGAATGTGGTTTAAAGGTTCAAGATTCACGAGAGACAACTTTCAACAGTTTGTATAGTATAACATGTTTCGGTATCAAAGGGTAACGACTCCATGTTTCATATATACATTATATATATCAAAAAAAAAAAAAAAAAAAAAAATCATAAAACATAAGTTTGAACATTCGATAAGCTTTTCTAACCTCATAAGACTGTGTACATGTTTGGGTATGGAAATTGTAACATTAAGCTACAATTTTATAGTTATGTTCAACAAGTTGTCTCCAAAAAGGATCAAAATGTGCATTTAGAACAATAGGATTGCTCCTATGATCAACACAATAACAGAAAACCCCATTGCCTGCAATCAAAAAATATATTAGTCTGGGCATCATCTTTCTTAGTGTGATTTTACGGTTTTACCCTTGATTCAAGAAGTCAAGAACTAACCGCAATTGCAGAAGCAGCAAGACCTGCACGCTCCCTAGGATCTCTCTTATAGTAGTTTCCAAAATAGAGAAATGTAGCATAGTACCACATCAATGGAAATGCAAACCCTAGTAGGAAACTGAAAAAAGACATAAGCTAATAATCATGAGAAATAGGGTGGGGTAGGGTAGGGTAGGGTAGGGTGGTTGATTGTGGAAAAGCTGAAAAAACAAAGGATACTTACGAAAACCATCCAACTCCACAGCCAAAGCAAGGAAGAGGTTTGTCGTAAATCCCTTGTTGGAAGTCATCTGCATCATCTCTAATGAGGGTATATTTGTCATTGTCACTGTTTGTTGTATAGCCTGCTGCATCAACATTTTTCTCATTTTGGTCATTTAATGATTTCGTTTTGTTTTGTGGTGTCATGATTTTTGATGGAATGGAGATTGGTGAATTGCCTAATTGAAAAGGTTGTTTTTTTTTTACCTTTGAACATTGAGAAACAGCGAGCTGAGGGCCTCAAAAGATCAAGATTCTTATCTGAAACTGATTTCATGAATTCAAGCCCGTATTTTGAAACCTTTCCTTCTTCCATAGAAGCATCTGTGAAGCAAGAAAGTCCCGTTTTATTATCATTGGTATCAGATTTAAGTGCTCCATTTCAAAACCAGGTGATAATCAACATATCTTCTATCTATTGGTATGATTATAAATATTTCAAGTTATGTTGACACATTTTACATTTACACCCACAACATTCCTATCTTTATTTGTTCAAGTGTAGATGACATCCCAAAAAATGGAAACAATATAGAAAACACCAAAAAGGGAGAACACCACAAACATTGATTCACCTTTGAGATTAAGATAGTGAAGCAAAGTTTAAAAAAAAAAAAAAAAAAAAAAAAAAAAAAAAAAAAAAAAGTGTTAAGATTGATTACTTTGATCCATTTGCACTTGTTAATGGTTTCAGGTTGCTTGCCACCAACTTCTCCCTCCACCTGATTCGTATGATCAACAAATGATCAAAAATTTAGTCCAATATGATAATCACGCTATACCCAATTCTAGCACGATTATATCCGACAGAGAATTTTATCAACAGTTCATGGAAGTAAATCAAGTAATTAAAAGTTAGCCATAGCCAGATTAAAAACACTAACGCCTTGTTCCCGAGTTCTACTTAAGAAGATGCATTTCTCTAATGTAAATCTCAAGAAAATAGTGTCCATGAATTCAACCGTTCAAAAAAGCACTTAACTAACTCGAAGTTATCTGGTAAATTTTCGATTGAAACTGCAGAATTAAGTAGGTTAATCCTCTAGGTATTTGGTTGAATCATATTCGACTGAAAGCAAAAGTGATGATATGGTGATGCTCTCCTAACGAAATAAGTAGTTTTGACAAATGATCAAACTTCAACGTTCAAGATCAACGTAGATAAATTAACAAGCTAACAAAAAAAAAACTTCGGGAATTATTTTGAGAAACAGCATACGATATCAGTAAAACAAATCAGTAGGCCAATCCAAAATTCAAGATACTCAAATCGGTTTTGATGATCATAGAGATGTTGAGCGAAGTCAGCAAAGAATAAAAACACCAATTTTAATTAAGGAACATCTGTGTAACAATTCTTTGAAGATGAAATCAACAGAAGAAAGAAAGATGTTTGCCTGATGATGATTCCTGATTGTTCTTAATTTCCCTTTCGGATCAGAAATCAGAAATCGCCCAATTTAGGAGTCAAGTAGTTCCATCGAGAGAGAAAACTGAGTGCAAGAAAGGCTTCAATTCTCAGTATTAATCGATCAACTCGCGCAAGCGTACGGCAACATCCATTGACTCTCTCTTTTTCTCTTTGGTGCTTTGTCCCTTTAGAACAAACAAATGGAACAAAAAAATGAAGTTGTGTTAGTTATTTGGAAGAAAACAAAGAAAATCGAAAATCAAATTTTAGAAATTTTATTTTTTGGTTTATTCATGTCCGTATTAATATTATATTTAATAATGAAATATCTTTTAACCTAAGAATATATTTTTATTCATATCAATTGTATTTTTGTTTTTAAAATTATCGATGGATCCATCAAATCTAACATATACAATTAATATTATATTTATAAATGAAGTATATTTGAACCTGATAATATATTTTTATTCATATCAATTGTGTTCTTGTTTTTAAAAAATATGGATGGATCCATCAAATCTTAACATATACAAACAAAAATGAGCTGTTTTCTCATATTGTCATATCGAATTATAAAATACTAGGTGTGAGATCCATGTATTACATGGGTTTAATTAAAAAAAATATATGTAACTTTAATAATTTGAATAGTTTGATTTTATAAGAAAAATAAGAAAATTTTTGAATTATTAAAATTAATGAGACTTTAATGTATTGAATACATTATATATATAAACTATTTCTAATAGATACTTTACATATATATTACCTTGCATATTAAATGTGAAATTTTAATTTAATAAAATGAAAAATACATTAAAATGACAAGTGGAAAATAAAAAATTTAAAAATTCTAGAAAATACTATGTGTCCAAATGAATGAGAAAATGACATGTGACAAAAAAACCTTCATTTATTATAGTAGATATATCATACGAATGTCTATGCGGAAATAAAATTAATAGGTAAAAAATTTATAAATAACCACGTATTGTCATTATATTGAAGTATATAATAAAGAAAAACATCTATTGTAAGTTGAAATTTGAAGAATTATAATAATAGTAGTACTTATTGAATGCAATTCACAAAATATAAAGCAAATAAGTATTTGTTAAAATAAATATTTATTACGAACAACATGGTCTTAATAACTTTTATCAATAGGTTAGACATAAATAAAATCATGTATACAGGATGCTCTACAATTAACATTATTTTTACCATTAACATGGTTAATTCAAAAAAACCTCCTTACGTCATTTTCTAATTCGAGTTTTTTTTTTTTTTTTTTCAAATTCAACCATTGTATTCATTTTTTAGTGAATTGGAAAAATCCTCCTTACGTCCTTACGTCATTTTTTTATATACATTGGCACAAAGCTCCAAACCTTCTTTCTCTTATTTAGTCACTCAAAATAAAAACAAAAAAACAGACATTATATTCCATTTCCCGTTTGCCTGGGAGTGGGACCTTTAGATATAAAACTAATTACTTTATAATATAATTAGTTTTTATTGTTTAAATAATATGATTATGATTTCAATCGTCTGATTATTTAATAATCAATTAACTACTCGTTCTAGTCAAATAATCATCTGATTATGGTTTCAACAATACTTGTTTTTACGGATTGAATACATAACATTATATTCTGAATCTTTTATACAAACTGCTGCAGACTATTCTAGAAATAAATGAATTCCTTAAATGATAAATTGTAACATTACATGCAAAATACTTGTCAACAAAAATCGATTTTAAGATATTGTAACAAACTAACTGACCATCCTCCTTAGGGTTCTCCATTTCCTAATCAAAATCCTGCAATAACAGCAACACAGATTTCACAGTTGAGAAAAAAAAATCTAAAAAGAAAAAAAGTAAATAGAATAAAAGAAAGAAACAAAGTGGCGTACCTTGATGATGGAGAGAAAGTCTGAAGGCAGAAAGAACATAAGATTTGAGTATTGTGATTTATGAATTATGATATGAATGAAGTGGTTTTATTAAGAACATAATTCGTATGTACAGGTAGGGTAGGGGCATTGTCCCCTCATCTTTAAATGCTACAACCGGAATTCGTGTTTTCCTAACATATAGTGAGAGACACCAGAAACCAACTAAAAACTTATACGTAGTAGTAAAAAACCAAAAACAAAACAAAACAAAACATTTTTTTACAAACTTCTAAGTCACTATATATTTTAAATAATAGACCACCAAAATCCATCCATCCTGGTCCCTGGTCCCACACCCAATCGCGGGCCGCCACGTGTCCTCAACACCACTTTATCATCTTTCATCTGTGTAAATGTTTTTTATACAACATTTTTTTTTTTAAAAAGTTTAAACCATCATATTCAAATCCGATAAATCATCCATTGGAATCTCAAGCCCCAAAAAGTCGTCATCTTGTAAAATATCATCATCGATATTCAACCATGACCCTATATCCTGCCCTTGTTCACCAAGATCATCACCAACACCAAGCACATCCATTTCCGGGAGTGGCAGATGTGAAAAGTCAAGTGGCTCCTCACAATACTCATCCTTTTCTTTCACGATTATGCTATTTTCCAACTTAACAACCGAGGAGGGCAAATTCGTCCTTCCCACCGGACCATTAAGAGAAGCGGTTGTTTTTTGCTTCAATTTCGTTTTCGTTTTTCTTTCCCCCTTCACGGATGCCGGGCGACCGATTTTCGGGGGCCCGTTTCTTGAAATGACGCCACTACCCTTCCCTTCTCTATCCCTCTCACTCCTCTTTCCTTTTGCACTCTTTAAAATTGTGGCTCCAAATCCCGAGGGTATTCCGGAAGAAGAAGAAGTACCCGCAACAACATCATCTAGATATAACTCTCTCTTTTTTACCCTGCTTGACCACACATCATCTTTCCCAATAGTTTGATCAGCCAAATGAAACGTGTCAGAAGAATATATGTCGTGGTTGTTCAACGAAGGGCTTTGTACTTGTACACCTAATTTATAAATCAAAATAATAAATACACATCCGAAATAGTTATGAATAAATAAGAAAAGAAAATACCTGAAGCGTATATTTTATCAAATTCGTTATCGATTTGTGTGTCGTTTGAGTGTAAAGATCTGTTATGGAACATTTCTTTGTATAAAGGCTCATTGAAGCAGCTTTTGCCTGTTGTTTCAAACTCATGGCATCGGTCTAGTGTTCGTCTCACGAAACCTAAAGCAGCTTGTTTCGCCATTTTGCTACCCACGCCTTTTCCCCCGGGCCCATGTGGACCCCAACAACTCTGTTGTGAATTAAAAATCATGATTTTCTCATTTCTATAATAACAATTTCAATGCAAAAAACTAACTTACCATGTACTTTTGGTATGCCATTGCAGTGAGTTTGTCCAGACAATGTCGTTCAAATTCCCTATACACACATAAGTGGTCATGTTATAAATTAGTATGTCTATATATAAACAAAAAAAGTCAATTTGATGTGATTTTAACAAAATGATTCGAATCCTCACTTTTCTTGAAGCTCTCTTGTTTCATTGGTGAACTCCATAAGGTTATCAAGCAGACTTTTCTTCCTGGAAACCTATTTAACAACTAGATTATATTAGATGAATCACTCATATTTCCCAATTTTTTTACTCTAAAAAAGATTCCCACCTGTTCGTGGTGTTTTTCTTCAAGTCGACTAATTTCTGCACTGATGCCTTCATTCCCTTTTGGTAAATCAGGCTGAACAATTAGGGAAAAAAAAAAAAAAAAAAGTCTTGAATGTAAATTTTCATTTTAGAGGGATGTAAAGAGTAAATATAAGATGAGAAAGAGAAAGAGAGAGAACTTACCACTAGCTCTGGATAAATTCCAATACTCTGAATCTCAATAAGAAGTCTTTCATTTACTGACATGTTACTATATTGATATTCAGAGAAGGTGGTGGCACTGCCAGGTGTCATTGCTAGATCTGGAAGCAGACCATTGTAGGAAGTATCAAAACCTGAATCTGGTATGGACATGATATGGTTATTATTCCTATGGCTATGACCACTGAAAGTCGACCGATGATTGAACACATTTGATTCCATGTCTGTTTCAAACTCAAATCCAGATCCAGATCCATAAACATTATAAGTATGTTCATCAATGTTTCCTTCTTCTGAGATTAAAGCAGCAAGAAGTCTCTGACACAGGGGAATCTGAATCTCCCCTGGACTTGCATAATGTTCAGGGCTTCTGCTTTCTGTTCCATTAGAAACTGCACCACCACTATCTATAACAGCAGCCTGAATACTTCCCTACAAAAATAAAAAATAAAAATAATAAATTGTCACGCGCACGATAGCATAAGAGAAAACAGGCATGTGCACAATAGCAGCATAACTGAACAACTGATTATCACCTGTTGCTTTAAATACAACATGTCCATGTCAGATAAAAAACCAAACAATGGTTCCATCTGCCTCCAGAATGGGCTAGACAATGCATGATCTGCAACCATTAATTTATCAATTAGTATTATTTTTTTTTTTTCAAAATAACTGTGTTCAAAAATCAAAATTCAAACAAGAATATATAAAGAAGAGATTGGGATTTCGAACAGTACTAGGATTAATAACCGCATTAGCTGCAGCCAGAAGCTCTTCATGTCCATCATCAGATCCAACTAAAAAAAACAAAGATAAGAAATTGTATAGACATAAACATGACTCGTGAGTTGACTAGTCAACATTTCATATACCAAGAAAATCAGCTGCTGAATTGATCGCGGTATGTTTCTGACGCGTATAAGCTTTGCGGTCAGAGAGCTTCCTAGTTGGAGGCCGACCGGTTCTACTGTAAAAAATTCCACATGATATAAATTTTAATAACAATTTAATAAAAATATATTTTAAATATATAATCAAATGTACAACCTTTCAGACTTATCAAAACCAACTCGAGCAGTTCTAAGTTGTTTTGCGGTCCCCACATTGCGAATCTTCTCAACCGCATGTGGTGCACCAGCACGCACAGAACCAAAACCCCGGCCCCCAGTTCTCCCTTGTCTACGAACACCATCACCAATATCTTCCCCATTCACAATCTTATTCTTTCTGGTTGGCAAGACTAAAGTTGACATTTTATTATGAATATTCTGTTCGCTTTTTCCTTCTTCATCACACTTCTTACCCTTATCCCTAGATCTAATTTCAGCAGCCCCAGACTCCTCACTTTCTGACAAAGTAGAAGAAGCAAAATGATCGCCTTTCGATTTGAACTGCTGAGGAGAACTTGCAAACCGTTTGGAAAACCCGGAGGGCCCACTTGGACTACCACCAGTGACATCACTCGTATCCAAACCCGGTGCTTCATCGTTATTATTAGTGGGTAAAATTGGGAGTAAATTGGTTCGTCTAGCTGTACGCGACATCTTTTGTGGTCTCCGCTCAGCCCACTGTGTGACAGGTGGCGATGATGACCGTGTCGCGGGTGTCCGTTTCCGGTTACCCGACCCAAATTGACCCGGACCCGGGTTCTTGTTTGTAACTGTACCATGAGTCAACTCCCAATCATTATTAGTTGCACGTTGACCCATTGAAACTGAGGATTTAGGTACAACATTTGACCCGGATCTTGGACCTCGAGCATTCGTGTGGAGCTTTGTCGTGGAGGTGGGACTACCGGATGCGAATTCTTCACGTGCATTTGACCGTTTTGCCCTTTCCTTCTCTGAACTCGTGCTTCTATCTCTTTGGAGAAGAGATGTGTTGTCAATCTCAGGTCTTGGAATGGAAGGGCGCATGACATCAGCTTTTCCGCCTCCCGCTACTCCATTAGCAGCTCCTGGCCTATACAAAACATGCATCAGAATCAGATATGGCACGCCAAGTGTTTGATAAAAAGCCAAACAGAAACTTCAAAATGAGAATTGATACCTGAAGCCATGGGAATCATTTAAGCGTGTGATGCCATCAGGAACATGCCTCGGATGCATTCCTTGTTTGGCTTCCCTGTATCCATCAATAGGTTTTGTTGACCCTGAGCTTGGACTTGGAGAAGCATCAATTTTTATTCCAGTTCGCTTCTTCTTCATTTTTGACTTTTCCCAACCATCAGCTACAATAGGCAATGATGCTCTATCCTCATTACTGGTGGGAAGTCTTAATGGTTCTTTATCTCTATCTACATTTCCAGATGATCTGGCGGGAGTGTTGGGTCGCACCTCCATTGAAGTTCTGGTTCGTTTGTTAGGAATGACGTTTTTACCCCTCTCTTCAACCTTCTGCTGGTCAAAGTCAAACGAATTTGAGAGGGAATGAGCTTGTGTGTGTGCCCCCATCTTAGGTGTCCCCATAGGCGCACGATTCAATAGTAAGCCAGTAGAACGATCACCAGGTAAACCATCAGGCCCACGTGATCTCTTCCTAGAAGGAATACTCGGGAAAAACTTGTTGATCACTGACAGTGTCTCACTGAACGCCTTCACTCTTTCCCTGGTAGTGTAGATAATAGAAAAAGTAGAAAACTTTATACATCTTTGATCCCAACAAAACCAAATATCCAAAAAAATAAAGAAAGAAAGAAAAAAAGATACCTGGATTTGATGGTGGATTCACGCAAACCAGCTTTTAGTCGTTTGAGATCATCTGGGGAGGAATTAGGGAGCTTGGTTTTGGATGATGGTGACTCATCAGGTGAACCAAGAACAGCACTTGCAAGTCTTCTAAAATCTCCATGGCGATTAAACTTATGGTCAGCAGCCATTGACTTTGGGTCAAACCGTAAGCATTGTAAAAAGTTAGTTACATCCACTTGTGTCACGGTTGAGGTGCTTCTTGACATGCTTGGGAGAGATGATAGGATTGGATTTTCCATGTTGTTGTTGTTGTCACGGAAGCTTGATGATCTGTCCAGTGATGCGGCTGTGTAGGACCCACGCTGTGCTGAGTTGTACAATGGCCTATCCGGGCTAACAGTTGACAAGTCAAATTTACCAGATGATGCCATTGCATCGATTTTTTTATAACAGTCTTCTGTGTGTTACAAGACCTGTAAACACAGGTGTGCATGACAAGACTGTAGTGCCACAGCACATGGAAACAAATCCCTGCACATAATACATCCATTCCATGAATCTTGAATCTTGATCACTAGTTCATGTGATCTTCATGAATTTGCTAATGGCAGTTGGTTAGATACAGCAACGCAGATTTCTCTCCACATCATTAACTTTTAATTCAAATGATAGGCTGATCGCTAATTCACTATTGAGCTTAATTAATGGCAATCCAAAAAAAATAACAGCTTGATTGATGAATGATAATCATACTTCCTATGTGGCTATATCTATCATCTTAACTATGTAAGCTGATCAATACATTTCCAGTAGATATTCGTTCTCAAACCCATAAATAAATGAAGTTATGACTTAATTGCATAAAAACAAAAAGGGAACTAGTCAGTACATCAAAGCCGACTACAATACAAACTTCTGATCTCAAATTTAGCTAGGTGCTCGCAAATTAAATACATGCAATTAAACAGTTGTGTACACCTAATCCCCACAAATCCCTGCCTATTGAAAACCCTAGAAGCCCAATCGACGCAAAAAGAAAACTACTTAAAAACATCAATTAAGCAGAATCTTAGGAAAGGCGGAAGCTAAATCGGTAACACAAAATTATTTAAACGATAAACAAGATCGAACACACAAATACCTTTAGCTGTAACTGCGAATCGCGTGCAAAATTTGTCCTCCGAGGGTTTATACGAAGCTGAATCGACTTTTAGGAAAAATTACGGTTAGGTTATTTTTGCAAAATTTGGGGATTTACCTTATATTTTTCCTTTCTGAAAGATTCTAATAATTATAAGATGTGTTCTTGAGTTTGGGGCTCAAGAAAATCGAAGGTTCATCCGAAGCCATGGCAGCGCCTCCCCCAGTGTTATGATCGGAGATGCGTTGGCTCTACACCAAATTACCGTTTTGCCCATGGTTTGTGTTGCACGAAGGGGGTGCAACATGGGTTTAGATGATGGGTGTTATTGGAATAAGGAGATTGAAGTCGGCTTGAACAGCTCAAGCCTGCCTTTTTATTTTTTAATTTTACATTTTTCATTTTTCATTTTTCATTTTATTTTCTTCTTTAGGTCTTCAAATAAACATACATACATGTAGTATGTATTTATGTACACACAAGAATCTAGGGCACTTAATTGCCAATATCCGTTATAGAGAAGTTTTACAAGGTTTTAGTTCGATAACTACTTCCTCGTCCTATGAATTACAACAACTTCCTACACGATTTACTAACATTTCTTACTTACTTGTTAAATACATTTGGTTTCTTTTAAATACAAAAATAATTATCCATGTGCAAAGTTCACAAAAATCGGCTACATTCATTTAAAAATGTTTGTTTTGATTGAAAAATGGAAATCAGATCAATTTTTTGGTTCCTATAATTGAAACTATGGTTACAAATTTACGATCTTTCAATTAAACAAATCAGCCTTATTATATCACTATCTAGCTTAGTTCGAACGGATCTATAATGAATTCCTTTTTTATATGGATTAGTTTCATTATTATGTGTTTATCAATTGGAATGAGTATCATCAAAACATGTTTGGGGCATGTATTCTAAATCAGGAGGGGACACCATTGTCACATCTTCAAAAGAAATTAAATTGCAATGCATTTCGGATATTCATACAAATATAATCCCCCTCCCCACAATATAAATAAATAAATCTTCCACTTTTATTGTTTAATAATAATGTATGGTTATTTTAGTTATTCTTCATGCATTTGGTCATACTTTTTGGAAACCAACAATGAAGCCAGTGTTGCATGTGACATGGTCACATGTAAACTAAAATTCATTTATGTGTGTATCTGGTTTTGCAACCCCATACATTGTTCATGTGTGATGGTCACATGTAAACTAGCTTTTTATAGATGATCTCAAGTAGGCCTCCAATATGTCTAACATGATTTTTGCTTGCTATAATAGAAATGTCATTAAAAACACCATTTTTTCCTTTGGGTTCATCTTGGGATGTCCCTTAGAGATAAGGGGCGAGACTTATGAGTTGTAGATGTTTGGGATTTAGGGTTTTGATTCCATCCCATACATTGCATTCTTAAACTATTTTATGTTGTTTATTGTAGATTGCAATTTATGTTGTGATGAAGTCCGAAGCTGAAGGTTTTTCTGAGGTTGGTCTCATTCCCAATAAATGATCCACAACTAGCAATATGTGTTGTGAAGCACGAGCATCTCTTAATATCATATTGTGATCTTTATATGTCCTAAGATCCCACCACTGCAACATTATGTAGTAAATTTGAGTATTATGCCCCCACTCTAACAAAAGTGCTCAAATGAACATCTTTCTATCTAGAGAAGAGTTTGAGACTACCAAATTGTAAGTTGTTGAAACATCAAGTAGATAACGCCCTCCATCGTTCCTAGTACCCCATTTATCTCTCTTCCTATATGGTTATTAATTTATCCCCCTAGTACTAGGTATTGATCCTCTATAATGCTTCTACCCATATCATCTAGAGAATCTCAATCTTATCTGATATACCTAACTCAAAATGTATGGTGTAAGTGATGGGTTTTATACAAACAATCCTATGTGTGCATGCAACCCTAGATTTGGATCTATGTTTTCTTTATTAGATACACAACTTTACGAACGCAATAAGAACCCTAGCTAGCAGGTATATATTTTGAAATTTGTATAGATGAGTAGATCACATACCTCTTGTTGTTATATTGCAATAACAACACTAATCTTCAATCTCTTAGTCTTGAAAGCAAGTACCACAAAGTGTAGTACCTCTAATGGCTCACAAACACCACAAAGCAATTGGAGAGGCAAAAGAGAGAAAGAGAGAGAGAGAGAGAGAGAGAGAGAGAGGATGAAATCGGCTCTAGGAACCCTAGGGAATCAAAGTGGCCGATTTCCTTAGGCTTAGGGGTCTTTATATAGGGTAGAGATTAAGGTTTCAGTCATTATCTTTATCTAGTTGTTTGCCCATCAAGTAACCAAAAGAGAAGCCTTGAAAGCCCTTATCCTTGAATGATTTCAAGGTCCTTATCCCTTTGAATTCATCCACCTCTCCCATAGGGCATCCATTGCCCTAATTTGCAACTATCACATAATTACAATTCAGCCCTTGCAGTTCAATTAATTACATTTGATCACAAAATTAATTCTTTATTAATTATTGACCAATATTAATTAAACAAATATGATTTCTCCTATAATATATTATTCCTATAATATATTAATAAATCATAATAACCTCTTTCTCTATTATTTCTCCAATCAAGTTGCTTTGGTGAAAGCAACCCAAAAGGACCATGCACAACTGGGTCAAGTACTTACCAAATATGGTTAAAGGCTTAGACACTAATCCAATAGTCTCCCACTTGGATAAGTCTAGTAACCACAAATCTAGGTAAAACTCGATTAGCAATTGTAGCTCTCAAAGACATTGTCTAACTTTGATCTTATCAGTAACATGTCCTTTAGATAAGGGATCGTATAGTCCTCTGTTTTAGATATCGTGCAGACAATCTCATGGAACATAGTCATACTCATTGTCCAGCAGCTAGTTTCTCGATCTCAGATTCATTTGACATGGAACTTAATTGAACACATCAATTCAGTCCTAATCGGGCCCGGTACATAAGTCAAATCAAAATCATCGAGGGGCCCTGATATCGCTTTTATCCTTTAAGGATAAAAGAAACAGATAAACTTCGACTTATATGCATTTACTACTCACTAATCAAATTATACACAATAATGCGTTTTATGACATCAATTTATTGAGGTGGTTTCGCATCATCAATGTACAATCAATTAGCAAACAATAAACTATATATCTTAGTTTTAAGACCATATAATATTATCATCTTGCGATCACTCGTGATAGATTCCATGAAGTGATTCCAGCAAGTGCGGGTTTATTCCAATGCTCAAAACTTATTTATAAGCATTCATGAATATTGTAACAAACCTTTGTTATGTCTAATATCATTCAGATAATCTACACACCAATTCATGACAGTCTTCATTCATACCTACTTCCAACATATGAACGACTGTGGACCATTTGAATAATTCGATTATTCTTAATTAACTCAATTATTTCGGAAGTCAAAACATGCAAAGCAAAATAATAGTCAACCAATTAACATAAGACACTAACTATACCAATAAATAACACTCCTTTATTTAATCATCAAATGTCAATTACAATTATCTATTACTCAATTCTATAACTATCTAACCCAAACTAACATCGTTCTTCAGCCCAATGCTCCTAGCGTGCTGCAAATGCTTAACCCTACTCAGTCCCTTCGTAAGCGGATCTGTTGGGTTCTCCACTGACGATATCCTCTTAACTACGAGGATTCCTTCTTCTACCTGATGTCTAATAAAGTGATATTTGTTGTCGATATGTCGAGATCTACCATGATCCCTTGGTTCCTTGGTCAAGGCAACCGCTCCTTCATTATCACGGAAAATTTCCATAGGCTCCGTTATGGCAGGTACAACTCCAAGGTCTCCAATGAAGTTCTTCAGCCATATTGCCTCCTTTGATGCTTCACTCGCTACAATGTACTCTGATGCGCACGTTGAATCAGCTACGGTTTCTTGCTTGGAACTTTTCCAAGTCATTGCTCCTCCATTAAGGGTAAAGACCCAGCCCGAATGCGAACGTAGTTGTCCCTATTGGTCTGGAAACTGGCGTCACTATACCCTCCCACCTTTAAGTCATCACTCCCACCGAGAACCAGAAACCATTCCTTAGTCCTCTAAAGGTACTTAAGGATATTCTTTACTACGGTCCAATGTGCTCTGCAGGGGTTCCCTTGATATCTACTAACCACGCTCAAAGCGAAGGCCACATCAGGGCGAGTACAAGTCAAAGCATACATGATTGAGCTAACTGCAAAAGCGTAAGGTACTCGGCTCATCTCTGCTATCTCGGCTTCGGTACCCGGACTTTGAGTCTTACTCAACTTAGCATTACTTTGGATTGGTAATTCTTCCTTCTTCGAGTTCTCCATACTAAAACGTTTTAGTACCTTGTCTAAGTAAGTATTATGACTAAGTCCTATTAGTCTCTTACTTCGGTCTCTCACTATCCTTATTCCCAAAATATAGGAAGCCTCTCCGAGATCCTACATAACGAAACACTTCCCGAGCCAGGACTTAACTTCCTGCAGTGTCGGGATGTCGTTTCCTATGAGTAATATGTTATCAACATATAATACGAGAAAGCTAACTATACTCCCACTGGCTTTGACATACACACATGATTCATCTTCGCTTCATACAAATCCAAACTCTTTGACTTTCTCATCAAAGCAAAGACTCCATCTGCGAAATGCTTGTTTAAGTCCATAAATGGACTTCTCAAGCTTTCACACTCTATTGGGATGCTTCGCGTCGACAAAACCCTCTGGCTGAGCCATGTACACATCCTCATCCAACTTCCCATTAAGGAAAGCGGTTTTGATATCCATTTGCCATATTTCATAATCATGGAATTCAACAATGGCTAGCATCACCATAATAGACTTAATTTTAGCAACTGGTGAGAAGGTCTCATCATAGTCAACTCCGGGAGTTTGTGTCACACCCCCAAGCCAAGGATGGCGGAAACATCCGGGGGTGGAGGACTTCATGTATAGTATCACAACAACGAGTATAATAGTGCTCAAATTATATACAACCATCATAAATGTAATTGAAAAGGTTACACCAAAGTATATGTTTACATGATTCAAATCAATTACATTATGATGACAAAATGAACTGTTTAACGATTTATCATCCCATCCTCAAAACGTTGTTGATTTCTTGTTTCACTGAATTCCTGAGAATACAAGTTGTTTGAAAACACAAAGGTTGGTGAGTTCATAAGTTTTTGAGATAAAGAGTTTCGAGACCGTTCTTTGTAATGTGTTGTGTGTCACCAAGAAAAATCCAATATTTTCCTTTTAAAAGTTATGTAGTCCTAAATCCCAGGACCAAGAATAAACAAGTATTTTCCATACTTAATGATCTAACCGTGGTTTTAAATCGGCATAAAACCCTATTTGATTTGAGGGAAA